TGCTGAAAACATTACTGCACCCTGATGCTGTTTAGTGAAAACTGCAATTCTTTGTACATGACCTACTAAGCATTCAATGTTGGCAGACATTAAATACTGTTTTGTCTCTGACAGGTATTGACTGGAATTTTTGTGTTACCGTAAATTATTTGGATGATCTATATTGTTTGGAAGCATATGGTGGTGGTAGAATTAGTGAAAGCAAGGCTGCCATTGAGAAAGAAAATTTTGATCTACATTCTAACTTACCTTAGTAAAGTGGAACTGTAAAGGATCGTCGGTCGAGAGTGACACGACCAGACCACGTGCCAGAAACTCAGGAAGAGGGTTACGATGGTAGTTCAAGAACAGTGAGTTGTTGCTAAGTGGTGACATGGCAATTCCAACTTGAGCTAAGTAGTAAAGGTATTGTAACACAGGTGCCTATAATTCAAAAAGAAAAACAGAAATGTTGCTGAAAAAGAGGTACCATTGGTTGCAGATTACATTCAACAATGACACTTTAAGTATTTATAGTTGTATTTCATCTTATAATGTAATGATGACAAGGACTTATTTCAGGTATGTTACAAGCTATTAATGAATGTCTTGTGTTTGTGCAATGGGTTAGAAATTTGTTGACATTTGGACTGCTTCATTCGGCTAGACACCGCCACTCATCTAGACACCGCCATTCAGCTGGATACAGCCATTCATCTAGACGCTACCTTACCAACTTGGGCAGCCAATCTCTCATACTGAACCAAAAGTGTTTCTGAATAAAGTTCAAAAGTTCAAATAAGACACTTGTATACTATGCACAGAGATGTACAGTATATACCTTTCTAAGTAGCAAGCCATGAGATATGTTCTCAGCAAGCATGAACCCTGACACAAGGTGGTGCACTGGCCCGGCTTCACCACAATGAGGTCGAAGTACAAATGTGTTGAGACCTCTTTCTCTGTAAAACAATGATAAATATAAATCTGAATACTGAACAAAATGCAGGCCGTGTATAATGGGGGATTCTATTGTTTTAATTATGCTTAACATAAAAATATAATTTCTGTGATCTCCACCTTGTCTTTTTCGTCCCCAAAATTCTTCAGACTTACAGAGAGCAGTGAATACATAACCTCATTCACGGAGGTAATAAGCAATACAGTCCTTACTGTCTAAAGTGGCTGAAAAACCACAGATATATGTACAAAAGGTAATATACATAGTTTGAAATGATTAGTTAATTAGAATGTGTATCGTCATAAAATATTACTTCATAAAATATTACTAAATAAAGATTCTTACTGCCTGAAGTGGTTTAAAACCACTAGATTTGAGTACATGTAATACAGGTAATATGCATAGGGTGGATTCTCAGTAGCTTCCCACTTCTCTGGCGTTGGGCTGTCCATTGTGAACACTATGTCTTCTGGTTTGGATTCATCATCAACACTATCAAAACCAGTCAACTATTAAAGAAGAAAAAAGACAACACAATTAAATAATCCAAAGAATTCACCATTTGTTTAGTGGTGTTGTATATATGCATATAATTAATTATTAATAATAATTATTAATATTATCATTATTATTATTCCATGTATATTTTAATCGATTAGGATGCTGGCATGTGCAATGCACATATACAGTATGCTAAATGTAAACATCAGTCTACACGTATAAATGCTATCTCAATGTGGTGCCAGTATTTGTCGGGCTAGGGGTAAGATGACCAAAACAGAGGTTCTGACAATCTGATAGTCCAAGGGAGCTAAGCCCTCAGTGCCTAGAGAAACTATGCCAAATCAAGCTGTTCTGAGACGTTTTGGGATGTATTAGGTTCAAAAACTTTTGGTCTGACATGACATGGCTGTCGAGCATGTAGGGGATCGGTCTTTCTGATAGGACTACAGGCCATTCTGATAGGACTACAGAAATTAAGGAAACATATAGATAACTCTTTGTAGTTCTGAAAAGTAGTCAAACATCATATTTATTTACAGTTCAAACACAAATCCTCAATTTTGTTGCAGTGCATGAAGCTACTGTACCTTAATGATTTGTCCCGCTTTAACATTGTTAAAAGTAGTTGTACAGCTGTATTAGCCTGAACAATGGTAATAACGGGTAATAATGAGGCAGCACTCTGAGACTAACTTTAAAGATGTAATTTATTTAACACAAGCTTTCGCTGGCATTGACTGCCACCTATACAGTATGTTCAATAAATTACTTTAACGTTAAAACTTACAAACTGAAGAAACTGATGTAGTTCAGGGTGTGAACTTGGGTCCTTGGTGACTTCAAACAGTGGCATAAAAATGTTAGTCAACATCTCTCCAAAGTTACTTAGTATTCCGTTAGAGCGGTAGATGTCACTGTAAAACAAGCACCAAGTTTATTAGATACAAATTAATTAAGTACTATAAGATATATTATAAATATACATTTATGCTTTTATCATTTCATCTACTTCCAGGAAGGCATAGTAATAAGTGTTGGTATGAGATTTCATGAAATTTAGAAACCAGTTTAACTGTGCTATTTCTTGATTGCCTGGGATTGTGTGATTGTGTAAAAATTTTGAACAGAAACTATATAAATAATGTAAACCACACTGTCAATGTATGCTTACATATAGTGATGATGTAGGTCTATATATGGTCATGATGTGATGTCACCATGACCATATTTAGGCATACCACATTTATATGTACAGGACTTAATAGAATTTTAATCTTTATGTTTCTTACACTCACGCACAAAACTCACTCAAATCAAATCAAATCAAACTTTATTTGTCAATTAAAACACAGGTAAAATGGAAATTCTTTTTCCACTGGCAAACAACATGAAACATCCTGGCTTTGTACGGTACTTACAAGAGTCGAGGGATCTGGACGAGCCAGCGAATATTGTCCGAGTACACTTGATGACTGACAGCCCATTTTGCTAGCTGATCCCATTCATCTGAGTTCCTTCCGTAGATAGATAATCGGTATTCAGCATTCTGATATTTAGACTCTTCTAAATCTGCTCCTACTTCCTAAAATATAGAAAAAAAAAAAAAAGAAAAAAAACATGAAATATTCAAGAAATCAATACTATAAAGTAATGTAAATTGCACTATCTGAATACCATGTATATTAATCCAAATAACAAAACTAACCACAAGAATATTCCAGCAACAACATTTTTGATATAAATAAATATATTTTGGAGTAATTATGAGTATTTTATGGAATTGTAATGTTTCTTTTGTTGTTTATATTTTTTTATCAATTTGGACAGTATTTCAATGTACTTTTGGTAATCATGTCTCGTCGATTTATGAAACCTGTATTTTTTTTGTGCGTATAATATTGAGACAGAATAAATGAAATGAAAGACAAGATACACTATATAAGAGCAGCACAAAAAAAACCAAAAAAACATCCAAAACCTGAGATAGTGAATACGTGCAAGACGACATAAGCACTAATTTCCTACTTGTGCACTTACTTTGATAATTCGGGCGAAGTACTCTCCATTCATATAATTATCCGTCTTGATGAAGATCTCACGTAATTTACTCTCCCCTACAGGATTGTACTTGGAGTTGAACTTATCAAAGCGATGAAATGTATTGCGATCCTGAATTTTGAAACAAAAAAATGTATTGTTTCTCAAAAGCAGAACAGCCCGTAGCATAAGATTTCTGGTGGATTTTATTTAAAAATAATAAGACATTCAAGCCTTAAGCCACCTTAAGAAAATGGAAGATTTTACGAAGACTGTGGGTAACATTTCAATGGGTATGTTACCATTGTCCACACTTTTACCAGTTGCTGAATAAGATATATATATATATATATATATATAACAATATTGTTTGTAAAACAATTAAAAACATATTACTAGCATCTACCACAAAAATAAAAGTAAATAATATAAGAATTATTATCTGACAACAACATAAATAAAATAAATGTAGAATAGGTACTTACAGCATGGACATCAAGGGTGTCAATGTTGATATCATAGGCAGTGAGACCCAGACTATCAAACACCTGTAGAAATAAGAACTTAGGAGTGATGTTTTTCCTTATATGTGAGGTCTCACTACAAAATGAGCCTCATTGCTATAGAAAATCAAAAAATGAATTTATATTACATTCTGGTAGATCACATTACAAGCTTTAATTTGATATTTGAATGGCTTCCCTAGGATAAATAGATCCAGGGATATTAGCATTTAAAGTTCAGGTGTATGAGAATCAGGTTTTGAGAAATTTGGCCTCAAAGATAAACTAACCTGTACAAATAATAGGACTAGAATTACAGAATATGCGAAGAGAACACTGTTTTAGTAAGAAAATTCACTTAAAAAGTACACAGTCATAAAATATAAGTATCAAGTTAATATTCAAAAACATTAAAATCAAAATTTTGTAAAAATGTTGCCTTTGACCTATTTTGGTGAATAACTCAATATGATTTCACCAACGATGCGTCTCATTTCATGGTGAGACCTCATGAGTGTTATCATACCGAATACTCAGCAAGTGATTCAGGTGGAATTGAACCCATGACTATACAGATTCCTAGCTTGGTGTCACAACTACTAGACTACCTTTAATGACTAGTTTAAATCTGATCCTCAAGTAGCAGCATGTACCTTAAATGCTATTTAATGTGCTTGCCTCAGGAAAATATCATAGGAGTGATGTTTTGCCTTAGCTGATGTCTTATCTTAAAATACTCACTATGTTCCCAAATACTTGCGAAGAAAATTGCGAGTGATTCCGGTATATTAGGATTTAAACCCATGACCTCCAGATAACTAGCCTGGTGTCTTAACCACTAGACACTTGCCTTGTGCTTAATGATTATTGTAGAATCCGATCCCAAGTACCAAATATTTTAATTGATTAATATCATAATGCAAAACATGTGTTTAATAACAACTGGGGAAAACATGTTTTTAAATTTAAATTTCCAGTAGTGAGCTAATCAAACTTCATAAGCACACAGCAATTCAAAATAATTTTAACTGTTTAAAGAAATGTGAAAAAAAAAAAAAATCCAGAAATATAATTGTTTAAGTCTAAAGACAGATAATCTTTAAAGACATTCTATAATTTACCATTGGGCTGATGGATTAAAGAAACTGAAAATAGCAAAACATTCAATTATAATTTTGACCAATCAATAATTAGTATACCTCTTTCAATGTCATCATCCTCTTTTCCTTTTTATCAAAATAGACAAACTTTTCAGAGTCCTGTTTGATCATTTTCTTGATGAATCGAAGCAGATGTTTCTGGTTCATGCATGATGCAGCGTGCACGTGGGTATCAACCTGTATATATAATAGCAAGATAAAAATAGTACTCAGAAAATCTATACTTACTACTGTATATGTAACCAAATCAGTCACTCCTCGTAAAAAAAAGTTATTTTTTGGTTATAAAAAAGTAAATGGAAGTTATAAAATGAATAAAAACAATCATTTATGTTCAACATTTTGACATTTCGCTATTAAGTATTGGGAGTTAAAATAAACAACTATTTAAAGAACAGCATTTGAGAAATCAGCCTTCGAAAGTTGACGATTCAGCCATTTATCAAGCAAGCAGAGACCATCATCCAATGATTATTTAAATATATTGTGTTAACGTCAAAAATGGGGAAAACAACAACATAGCATGATACATAAAATTTAGTTGCAAAAAAATACATTTTGAAAATTTTGAAATTTCAACATGTTTTGACCATACAGTATTTCTACCACATGATTTACGAAGAGTGACTGGTTTTGGCTTGACTTCACCACATACTGTGTATGTCATACAATAATTATTTCTAGAGTGGTAGCAAATGAGGAAAATACTAAAGCCGGACACTCGTATTTGATGATGGTCCGTTTAGACTGCCACTGTCAATCAGCAGATGGCGCTGCGTAGTCCAGCGCTCAAAGGGAATGGAGTTGGGGGCAGCTGACTTGAAAAAGTTATAGTGATTTGTTTGCTTAAGCTGCCCCCGACCTTGTTGGTCTAAAAAAATAAACTGGAACTGGATTCGTTATAAGATGGTCGTATGATGCAGTGCCAAGCTTAACAGCAATTTTTTAAAACAAATACATTATATTCATGTAATTAAAATATGCCAATTCATTGGCCTAGAAGAGTTTAAAACACCCCGTATTTGATGATGGTCTGTTTAGACTGCCACTGTCAATCAGCAGATGGCGTTGCAGCGCTCAAAAGGAATGGAGTTGGGGGCAGCTGACTTGAAAAAGTTATAGTGATTTGTTTGCTTAAGTTGCCCCCGACCTTGTTGGTCTAAAATAAACTGAAACTGGATGGTCGTACAATGCAGTGCCAAGCTTAACAGCAATTTTTTAAAACAAATACATTATATATTCATGTAATTAAAATATGCCAATTGATTGGCCTAGAAGAGAATTTGAAACACCCAAGCCCATTATAACAATTTTCAAAAACACAAGAAAATTTATGTAATTTAGGATTCTTGATTTATTTATCATTCATAGCTATACCAACCAGCTTTTTGTTATGCAAAAGAGTTAAAGACAAAAAACAGTGAATTTAGAAAATCAAAAATCAAAAATCATATTAAATTAAAATAGACTCGATGACAAGGTGATAAGGGCGCTAGCCCACAAAATATGGTGATATGGTGTGATTTTTAAATACTTGAGTATGATTTTTTTTTGCTTCAAACATTTTCAACAGAGGGAGGCCTACTGGGAGGGCACATGCACCCTGCACACTGCAGAAAGAACACACAAGCTTTGAAATTAGTATAATTATTGTATAAAAGATATAAAAAAGACCAAGAGAGTGCTTGAGGTATAGATTTAATTAAACCTGGTTTAGAGAAAATCAGCATCAACAATATTAAATCTATCATACAGTAATAAGCAGAAGCACATGATCTACTCGAAGAGACAAAAATTTCATGAAAACATTGACTCTAAAGCCCCTCTCCCACCTAGGTTTATTTCACCTAAGAGTCGTACGATTTCTACGAGTTAAAACTCGTGATCTTTGGAAAGGACCTATACGAGCTTATTACGTGTTAGCTACGAGTGAGGTACGACTTTATGGAGTTGGTTACGAGTTATGTACGAATTATGCCGAGCAATAATTTTGAACATGTTCAAAATTAGCGCCACAAGTTCAGAGCTGCTACGAGAAGGTAAGAGTCCTCTCCGAGCTTTCCAAATCGTCCTACGAGTTTTTGCCGAGTTTGCCGAGTTAGCAACTCGGCATTCTCTTGTAACTCGTATGCTGAAAAAACCCCTAGTGGGAGAGGGGCTTAACAGTGGTGAATTCATAAATTTGAAATACAAGGGGCAACCTGAGGGGCTTTTAAAAATGGATAGTCTAGATCACCCAAGCTCCATCATGGTTGGAGCTGAGGTAACAAAATATACATATGATTTAGGGTTAGGTGGCAAAAAATGGTACTCTCACGCTTAAATTTTAATTTTTTGATCTCAATTTTTTTTAAATTTATTTAAAACAATTTAGGGGGAACTGCCAGCACAACCCCCATAGAATTCACAACTATCAAACATACTGGTGATTATCTCAATATGACCTCATCAAGAATACCCATACATCACATTACCATAAATCAATAGGTTACAAACCTTGCGAATATTGTAGAAGTCACGATGTGGTACAGTCTTCTGTGCAGCCAGCTCCTTCATCTCATTCAGCAGACTATGTAACTGGAAACGCGAGGACAGGTAGGATAGACGTCGATATGCAAATGATTTACTGAAAAAAAAATTTAAAATATTACAAAACATAGCAAATCAAATCAAATCAAAATCAAATCGTTCCATTTATATTGCGCCATTCCAACAATCGTTGCCCGTGGCGCAGTGGACTAGATGTTGCACTTTTCAATAACTTTCTCCTCCCCGAGGGTCGCTTTATGACCTCTGCAGCCGGTAAACCGGTGCATTTTTATTTGTTCACGACAGGAGCCAAGTGGACCAGCGAACCCATGCTGTTATTGTTGGCTATGGTTACGGTACCCCCTGCCTTAACCCCTCGGCTATTGGACTCGCAACATTATTAAAGGAAAATTTACAGCAAAAGCCTGAAGAGGAAGAATGCAAATTACTACGATTTAAAAGAAGACCATTCATACAAAACAATGAAAAAATCAAGCACAAAACTGACATCTTTTGGAGCAAAAACGACAGTATATAGTGAGTTGTTTATGCTGTGGAGCGATTGTTTCAAACAGCAGACATTAAAATTTCAGTAATGAAAAATGACAGGCTGAAAGGCAAGTGACTATATCAATTGCTTACATTGGTCCATTAGCAATAAGGGCCATCAAGATGTTCATATCCGCCAAGAAAGATTCACGATCTGGTTGCGGAAGGTTGATAACTTCTTGTTGTTCTGAACAACTCGCAGACTCAAACACTTGGACAACTCCCTCTACCATCTTCAGTTCGCAGCAGATTTCGGACAAGATCGGGTTCTGAAATGGATTCCCCTTGGTAGCGGGTGGATGGATTGGGTGATCTATAAAAAGATTAAAGAATATCTGAATAATACCATAAATATTATTACCACCTGATAAAGCCAGCAGTCTAAAAGTGCTACCAGTGTTTTTATTTCATAGGTTAACCATTGTGTCTTCAACAAATATAAAACATTTGAATACTTACATAAAAATTTAGCAGGATGAAAAGAAAATTACAAATTAAAATAAATAAAACAAATTATTTCTAGTAAAAAAAAATCATAATTTCCATTAATAATTATTATTTATTTATTACTATTTCAAAAATATTATTATAAAAAAAATCATAGTAAATAATAATAATTTATTCATTACTAGTTATTTGTTAACAATGAAAATTTTTAATTAAGCGAGAAATTAAGATTTACCTTCAGCTTGTGTACAATCCATATGAAACAATCGTTTTCTGGACTTTATGTAATTTATACAATTTTTATAGAATTTAACAATGGACCATGGGATGCAGTGGTGTATTAATTTTATTAACAAATATCAACAGTATAATAAATTTAATGACATCATGAGCCTGTATTTAGTGCTCATCTATTTTGTTAATATTAAGCTGTGCTGGGACATAAAATTCCCAATTTTGCAACAGTTGACGCATAAATTTTACACAAATACAAAATAAACAGTGAAAACATCTTCACAGACAAAAATGTTAAAAAACTAATAAACACTAA